CGCCGGGGCGGGCGCTGGACGGCGCGGGCGATTGCGACGTCAGGGCATCAACGCGCGAGCATGTGTTTCCAAACGAGGAGGTGGAGCCCAACCTTTCCGCGCTCCGCGACCCATATTTGAGCCGGGTCCTCGGGCCGACCCGCGGGCGCACGCAGCCCTAGCGCGTCGCCGCGTCGACGCTGGCATAGCGCCCTCCGCCGCTACCCCGCCGGAGCGGCACAGCCCTCTCTTCGCGCGTGAGATGTCCGGCAAGCAGCGCGTGGCGATCGACTGCCGTCGGGCCATCCGCTGGTTCGGGCGGCCCGCCGCCGCGGCGCTGGCGGCGGGCTCTGCGCATGGGGAGTTGGCCGTGCAGGAGGGCGGGGAGCTCCATGCGGGCCACGTAGACATCTGCGACTCCTTCTACCACTTTGGCCTGCCCGAGGCGTCGCGCGACTACTTCGCACCGCCGTCGGGCCGGGCCGGCGACGTCGGGCCGGTGGCCTTGGGCGGGCGCCAGTCTGCTCCAGGTGGCTGTTTCTGGCCCGCGCTGGCGGCGCCCTCGATGGGTTGGTCGCGCGCCATGGGCCGGTGCCGGACTATCCACCGCAGCGTCGTTAGTGCGATCCCCGACGGGGCGCCTGTCATCTCGGCCAAGAGCTCAGCGCCGCCTGCGCAGCCGCTTGCTGTGACTAGACATGTCGAAGACTTCTTGGCTCTGGTGGCCGACCCCGAAGCCGCGGCTCGCGCTGCGAAGCCAACCGACGCCGCCTTGACACCCAGGGGCTAGCCCACCCACGAAGCTTACGCGCGCGACCACGATGCCGAAGTCCTGGGCTGGGACGTCCGAGGCCGCGAGAGAGAAATACGACCAAAGGGGCCAAGGCAGCGACGACTCCGCAACGCGCTCGATTGCGCGAGCAAGAAGGAAGTCGCCAACCCGAGAGACGTCGAAAAAGGCGCTGGGTGATTGTATTTTTGTTGGTCTTCTGCTCCGCGAACACACTGCCATATTCAAGTCCGCGCGTGCCTCTGTCCGACGGCTGCGCCGCAGCACCGCGGCCCCCTTCTGGCACTCCGCCCGTTGGGGGCCGAGTGCGTCCTCGAGCTTGCTGGGCATGATTTCTCGGACTATGTAGGTGTCTTGGAGCTGTGTCGTCACGTTCGTCGACGCGTCCTTCTGGGGCTCTGCGTTGGTCTGCAAGGACTTCGAGGAGGAGCTCGGGCTCCGTGGGCGTCTTCTGGGAGCGCTGGCGCTTCTTAGGAGACAGGGCGGTGCAGTCGCGGGCTTGGGTCGGGCAGCGCAAGTTGGCCTCGCGAGAGCTCGGAGGATTTTAAATGCACTGTCGGCTCTGAGGAAGCCGATTTTGAGGCCCGTCAGCGGGCCGCGGGTCGTCTTCCTCGCGCATTCCGCGACGCTGGCCGGGCAGCCGTGGGATCTCACAAGTGGGGGGGGGGGCACTCGTCTCATATGTTTAATCGCGTCGTTCTCTGATTTCATTGAAGTCACGTCCGCCCGCCGAGGGAGGGAGGGGCGGCCTAGTGTAGTTGACAGTTGTATATGTAATAATTAAATTCACTTAAGTGAGGTACATGTGTCACTTGGTTTTTCCATTCGAACACACATTTTTGCACTTGTAAAACGCAGGGAGCATTCATATTGTTTCATATATATATATATGTAAGTATATCCATATATCATCGGTACAGCTACTGAACGTGTTAACGCGATCCGCCCCCCCCCCCCCCCCCCAGCCGGGCGGGCGCGATTCTGATACGTTGGATCTCTTAACCGAATTCAGACAATGAGTTAGTTTTAGAAAATTCAGCAAACCAAATGCGTCAATGCAATTATTGCTGTCCCGTGCAATGCTGCTCCGCAATTTGATGTTTAGCTGTACGTGGCACCGAAAAGCGCATCATTCGATTCATTTGTTTTGAATTCCCGAAGCAGCTTGCTATACGGCTTGATGTTGTGATGGAAGCTAACTCCGGCCGAGGGAAATCAAAGCAGAGACGTCCTCAAACACAAATGATGTTCCGGGTCGTTCTGCCTGAGACATCCTCGCAACTCTCGTTTCTGAGTTGTCTCGGATTCGGCGTTTCGCGCGAGACATCCTCCACTGAGTTGCCAGATGCCGCGCAAGAGGTGGTCTGGCCCGTTTCGCTTGAGACATCCTCGAGACTCTAACCTCCCAGATGCCGCGCGAGAGGTGGTCCAGCCCGTTTCGCCTGAGACATCCTCCAAAATCTCAGCTCCCAGATGCCGCGTGAGAGGTGGTCCGGCTTTTCTCGCTTGAGACATCCTCGCAACTCTGAGCTCTGAGATGCCGTGCTCGAGGTGGTCCGGCGCGTTTCGCTTGAGAAACTATCGCAATTCAGAGTTCTGAGATGCCGCGCAAGAGGGGATCCGGCCCCTTTCGCCTGAGACATCCTCCAAACTCTGAGCCCTGATGTGCCGTGCGCGAGGTGGTCCGGCCAATTTCGCTTGAGACACTCTCGCAACTCTGAGTTCTGAGACGCCGCGCGAGAGGTGGTCCGGCGCGTTTCGCTTGAGACATCCTCCAAACTCTGAGCCCCGAGCTGCCGCCCACGAGGTGGTCTGGCCCGTTTCACTTGAGACATCCTCGCACTTTTGCATTCCGAGATGCCGCGCGAGAGGTGGTCCTGCCCATTTCGTTTGAGACGTCCTCCAACTCTGAACTCAGATGCCGCGCGCAAGGTGGTATGGCCCATTTTGCCTGAGACATCCTCAAAACTCTGAGCTCTGAGCTGCCGCGCAAGAGGTGGTCCAGCCCATTTCGTTTGAGACATCCTCGCAACCCTGACCTCGGAGATGCCGCGCGCGACGTGGTCCAACCTGTTTCGCCCGAGACATCCTCGCAACTCTGAGCTCTGAGATGCCCTGCGCGAGGTGGTCCGGCCCGTCTCGCCTGAGACATCCTCGCAACTCTGAGCTCTGAGATGCCGCGCGCACGGTGGTCTGGCCTGTTTCGCACAAGACATTCTGGCAATTCTGAGCTCTCAGATGCCGCGCAAGAGGTGGTCCAACCTGGGGGCCCAGCAGACCACATTTTACATATCCTCCCTGGGAGCCCCAGAGAGCGCCAGGAGGCCGCAGGACGCCCAGGACAGGCCCCAGGGGTCCCCAGGAGATTCCCAGGAGGCTCGCAGGAGGCCCCAGGAGGCCCCCTATCAGAACGTGTCAAGTTGATACACATCCGGTGTCGATTCGTTGATTTCTCCTACTCTTGTGCCCCCCCCACCCCAATTTGAGAGGCCCAAACGGCCATATCCCCTCTGGGAGCCCCAAGAGGTTTCAGGAAGCCCCAGGTGGAGTCCAGGAGGCCACAGGAGGCCCAGGAGGACCCCCAGGAGGGCCCCAGGAAGCCCCCGCAACTCGGAGCTCTGAGACGCCGCGCTCGAGGTGGTCCGGCCCGTTTCGCCTGAGACTTTCTCGCAGCACGTTTCGCCCGAGACATCGTCGCAACTCTGGGGTCCGAGATGCCGCGCGCGAGGTGGTCTGGCCCGTTTCGCTGGAGACATCCTCGCAATTCTGGGCTCCGAGATGCCGTTCGGGATGAAGAGAAGGTGGATGAGGAGGAGGAGGAGGAGGAGGAGGAGGAGGAGGAGGAAAAGGAGAAGGAGAAGGAGAAGGAGAAGGAGAAGGAGAAGGAGATGGAAGGGAGAAGGAGGAGGATGATGTGGATGAGGGAGCAGGCAGGTACAGGGGGAGGAGGAGGAGGAGGAGGAGTAGGAGGGAGAAGGAAGGGAGTTGCAGGAGACCAAACGGGAAGCGAGTGCGACGTGGACTTGTCAGAACGTGTGCGAGAGGTTGTCCGGCCGTTTCGTTTGAGACATCCTTTCAATCTTAAACTCCAAGATGTCGCTTGCGAGGTGGTCCGGCCCGTTTCGCTTGAGCCATCCTCACAATACGAAGCTCGAAGATGTTGCGCGCAAGATGGTTTGGCCCGTTCTGCCTGAGACGTTTCGTAGCACAGGGGCTCCAATCACAACCTCTCTCATTCCTTCTCCAGCCTCCCGCTTCCCGCTTCCCGCCTGGCTCCTCTTCCCTCCTCCCTCCTCCCGCCTCCCGCCTCCCGCTGCTGCGCCTCTGCCTCCGCCTCCCCGTCCCCACCGTCGTCGTTTCTCACAGCATGGCGGCAGAGCCTCTCACAGTGCCGACCCGACAGCTTACTCGTCGACCAGGTGCGAGAGAATATGACACTTTCTAGCGCTAGCTTCATGATAGGCATGCGTCACACAAGTTTTCGTGTAAACGTATCATGTGCGAACATCATGTTATCAGGTTCTAACATGCCATGCCAGCCCGCACTGGACGGGCACGCGATCGAACTTGGAAACAGCAGTGGGTTTAAAAACCCTGTTTAGGGGATGCTGCACTCCGGCTAGATTTGTTTTTCCATCTATGTAATTTGCGTTCGCCCGTCGAGGGGGTTGGGGGCGGGCGGCGGCGGGCAGGTGCAATCGCATTCCAATGATTGAAGCGAATTTCATGAGTAAGTTCAATACACTAACGGGATTGAATGCGTCCCTGCGTTCGGGAATCTCAGAATCTATTCGCTAGTTGTGAATTGCAATGCGTTCGGCCCGCCCGCCCCTCCCGTTCGATTCGGCGGGCGTCCGCAAGCTGAATCTATTTAACGAATGAAGTATATCAAATAATTACATGTGTTAATGTACTTATCATGTTGTGCTTACTTATGTTAAACTTCCCACGTGCAAGCTGACAAATTAAAGAGCAACGCAGGGCAACTTCGACCTGAAAAGGTGGATCTCTGTGGGATTTGTATGTATGTATGTATGTAAGTATGTAGGTACACACATTTTTACACATGTATATATATATATATATATATATATATATATACGCATGTGTGCGCGTGTGCCTTCATCGCCCGAGCTTCGAGGGGGTATGCACGTCCCCTGGTCGCCGGGATGGGGCGGGCCAGGATCGGCGGTAAGGCGTCTGGCTCTTGCGCGCCACTGCCGAAAAAAAGGAGGCGGCCGAACGCGCGGCGAGGGCGGCGCGTGCTGAGGCCCAGCGGGCGGCCGCGGAGGCCGAGGCGGCCGAGGCCACGGCGGGGCCAGGAAGAGGACGACACCGCTCGGGATCGCTCCAGGACGCTCGCAGAGCGTTCCCGAAGGCTCTGAGGAGGCCGTGGCGCGCGAGGACGTTTTTTCGAGAACCGCTCGATTTCAGAGGTTCCCGATTCGTGATCACACGATTTTATCCTCGTCCTGGCTTCGTCGCAGAGGCGGAGACGCGGCGGGCGGCCGCGTGGCGCGAGGCGGAGCGTGCCGCCGACGAGCGCGAGCGCATGGGCGCGGAGGACGCGGCGGCCCGGTGCAGGTCGGCCACACGCATGGGGGGTAGGGCGGGGGGGTTTGTCCGAAGGGCTTAGGCGACCCGTCTTTCTCCTCTCTCCTCCTCCTCCTCCTCCTCCTCCTCCTCCTCCTCCTCCTCCTCCTCCTCCTCCTCCTCCTCCTCCCCCTCCTCCTCCTCCTCCTCCTCCTCCTCCTCCTCCGCCTCCGCCTCCGCCTCCTCCTCCTCCCCCTCCTCGCCCTTCCCTCCTCGGGTCGCCTACGGCCCCCGGGGAAACCGTCCAGGCAGGGGGAGAAGAGAGGGCTTGCACGGAGGTTGGCACCTCCTGCGAAGTAGCCTCCCTCTAAGAGGCCTTCGCCCCTCTCCCCCTGCGCCCGATGCGCGCCAGCAAGCAGGCGCGCCCGCGCGGACGAGGACTTGTTGGGGGTGTCGAAAAGGGGCGTGCTGGGGGGATCCCATAAGCGGCCTGTTTCTGTGTGACATACCCATTCTTGTATGTGCGTGTATACCTGCATGCAGTTATACCTGTATGCATGCTCACAAACATGCGTACATACATGCATGCATACGTACATACATCATACGAGCATGTATACGCAGATCATCCAGTCATACATACATAATGCACACATACAAACATACATACATACATACATACATACATACATACATACATACATACATACATGCATATATACACACATGCATGCATGTATACATGCCTACGCGCAAACACACATGTAGACAGTCGTAAACAGGCATACATGCATGCACAAACACATACATACATACATACATAAATACATACATACATACATACATACATACATACATACATACATACATACATGCATGCATGCATATATACACCATACATACATGCATGCATGCAGACATACATGCACACACATACATACATACATACATACATACATACATACATACACTCATACACTCATACACTCATACATACATATGCATACGTACGTGTACATATACGCCTATACACACGTATACATGATGCTAGCTTTCGTGGGCCCCAAGCAGTGAGATGTTGCATTGCGGAGGGCAGAACTATGTGGAGTACGCTATGTGGTTCAAGATATGTATTGTAAGCTATGTGGAGCAGGACATGCGGTGTTAGCTATGTTGTGCAAGTGGTGTGGCGTAACATGTATGTAATTAGCTGTGTGGCATGAGCTATTTGGTGTAAGAGTCGATATGCGGTGTGACCTGTCGTGGTGAGAGCTGTGCTGTGCAAGCTATGCGGCGCAAGCTCTGCGGGGTGAGGTCTGTTGCGTAACATATGTCACCCGCCCGCCCAGCGCACGGTGCGCAGACGCGGCGCCCACGGACGGGAACGTGGAAGAATCTTCGGCATACCAAGTCAATTTGCATAGAAGTCCGAGCAAGAACCCGAAGTGCAAGCAAACATTGCTTAGGGCCGTCGTGGCCACCCAGCGTGAACAGTGCAGACTTGTTTCGGGCATTCTGCAGCAAGCGTGTAATGCGCAGACGTGCTGTCTACGCTTAGAAAGTGTTTCCCAGCCTCGGGGTACTCTCCAGGAGCTGCCCCTCGCCGAGAGTTTTACGGGAAGGGGTGCCCGTAGCGTCCCGATCTGCAGCCGGAGGCGCGAGGTATGGTCCAGCCACCGACTGTGGTAGGAGGGGGGTGAGGATGTCGTAGCGGGGGCCCGCAGGCGTCCAGGAGGGAGGCACAAGTCATTTGGTCAGCCACCACGCGTCCAGGAGGGAGGTGTCCAGGGGGGCCCCACAACATTTGTTGTGGGGCATAGCACCATTTTTTTTCTGTACCCATTTCGGGCGTCCAAATACTTGACCTTATCTGGCTGAGAGGCGATGGGTCAGTGGATGCGTGCAGTTGCTGCCGGGAAGCCTGCAACTCCCGAGCCGTGGTGTTGCGTGACGTCAGGCGCCAAGACATTTCTGGATGATGTGGAATCTGCGGGAGGCCCTCCGCCCCAATCATTCCACAGTCGCGTAATCATAGACTTGCCTACGCAAGACATGATTGGTAGCCATGGTTATGCGGACGGCAGACAAGCTGTGCCCGATTGTCCATTCCCGTCCGGCGTAGAGTCCATGGATATCGTCACGTATTTATATTATCCGCCTCCGGAAGCTTGTGAGTGCGGTTGGAATCGAACACCTACCAGCGTCGTGAGCTTAGGAAGTCCCCCATCTTCTCCCAACTACGACTCAGTTGTTGGTTGTACTATACCACTCCACCGCTCAGCCGAAGGCTGTGCGGCTGTGCGTAAGAGCCCTTGTGTACACGGGGTCTCAGGATTACTGCCCTACGACATGGATCAAGGGCTCGATTCCAACACAACTGCTGCAGTCCCTAGCCAGAGGGGAGATGCAGATGAGGGATCGGGTGGAGTTGACTTTGTTGACGCCGACCTACCGCCCGATTCCGACGCAGACGACGCAGAGGTTGAGGTGCCAGTCTCCGCGATTGAGCGAGTCAAAAAGAGCGCGGCCTCCCTGGCGCATTTACTAATTCATGCCCCGAAGATTCTTTTCTGCTCTGCATGTAACTGAGCACAGGCATTAAGGCGCCAACAAAGAACAGCGCGCAACGAATGGCTTTGGGTACCTAGATCGCGCGCGAACCCCGTCACGTTCGGACACCTGACAAGAATGGATCACTGGCTTGCGATGAATGACCTATCGCGGGGGCTCCATGACGAGACCGCGCGCGTGACTTTTCGCGACCGGGTTGCCGATTTCTTTGCGGTTCAGGGCGGGCATGATAAGAATATGCGGTTCACGTGTGTATGTTTGATCAGCCTCAAGCTCCGGGATAGAAGTTAGAACATTGTTATGCTGGTGGTGCGAGGGAACTCGCACGTGCGTGCATATAACTAAAAATAGCACATCATCCAATCATCCCTGGTAACCAAAAGCTTCCGGCTGTTGCTGAACGGTCCAACGTAATCGTTCAGATGAGGACCCGAGCCTCATTGATGCAGGCTGGCTTGCCCCCGCCTTTTCGGACGCATGCCGTCCGATATTGTTGTCTTTGTTATAATGCTCGCATCCCTGAGGAGGGTGACTCGTCATGAAAGCGTAGATTCGGGCACGACTTTGCTGCTCCTCTCCAGCCTTTTGGAGCCCTCGCGCGCTTCGTGCCCCCTCCAGAATCTAGATTTCGGATCGCCAAAACTGGCGGGGTGATGATCGCGGGGATTTACATTGGATATGTACATAAAGCAGGGGGCATGGCGTGGCCCGAGAGCCACGCGTCGCCATCGATGCAACTCGACAGATTCAACGTGGAATCTGGGCGGAGGCCAGCAGGCAAGCGCCCGGCAATTGAGAAATCTGGTCAGGTCTACAGTCACATTTTTGATGGCACTGCGGCTGGCCAAGAGCCCAAATTTCCCGCCCGGGAAGCGCGCGAAAAAAGCCCAGACCGGAATTGAGAACGTCAGAATCCCCCTTGGTGTTTCCTCTGCCGGCTCAGCTGGACAGGGGGCCGACTGGGCGGAGACCCCGGCGAACCGACGCCGCCGCCCCTTCCAGGGGGCGAGGCCGCGCCACCTTCGAACCCCGTAGACTCCGATGATGACGGCCCGGGGGGAATTGCAGTGGACGACGCGCCCGCGGCACCGGGCGGCCGGGGCCCCCAAGCAGATTCGAGACCAGATATATTGACCCAAAACAGATGCTTGGTCTCGCACGCGTTGATTACACATTGGATCGTCAGGCCAACTTCTCCGCGGCTCAGCCGAGATCGAGAGTACCTGGGCCAGGTCAGCTTCTCGCCCGCGCCGCGCAAAATCTTGGCGCGATGTAATATTACGAAGATCGACGCGTCGTGGTCGGGCCCGCCAAGGACGAGCTAACTGAGAAGCTGCCATTGAAAAGGACGACGGAAAACGCGTAGCATCCGAGTCGCGCTGTACTACGATCCAGACAACGTGCTTGTCACACGAGCATGGGTCACTGACCCGAACCCACTATGGGGTGCTCTACGGGTAAGGATTTTTGCCAAGTTCCACCAACCTTGGGATTCATCCGAGACGATGCTTCAACATGAGTCATGCTGAACGAAAGAAGGCAGTGGGACAGTTCAGTCTCGAAAAGCCTGGTTTCTTCGGTATTGACGACCCAGGGCCCTGCATTGCGCATTTTCATGACATGGGAATTGACTGAGAGGCTTCGGGAAAGTAGGACGGACTTCAGATATCTGCTTTGAACTTTCATTGAGATAGCGCGCGCTGTCGTCGAAGCAGGGGGGACCGTCTGCATTGAAAGGCCTAGCCAATGTCAGTATTGGAGAGATCCACCGCGTAAGGCTTTTATGCGAGAAATTGGGTTGCAGAAATCAGTTCTGCACGGGTGCGCGTGCGGCTTGCGAGATAGAAAAGGGAACTACATGAAGAAACCATGGACTATTGCGTCCACGCCGGATATAGTGACGACTGGTTTGGCACGCAAGTGCGTCGGCATGCATGCACACGTTGAAGCACGGGGTAAGGCTTGCAAATTTGCTGAGGATTACACTGATGGATTTGCTCGACAGGTTCATGTGGTACTTGCGCGCGCCGCATCGCACTCATGCTTTGACCCCGCTTCCTCAAGTCATGATATATGCGCTTTCGCCGTTGTCTCTCAAAAGCTGGAGCGGGCCCGCCGTCGGCCGGCCCCCCCGCAGGTAGCGCCGCTGCGTAGCCGCGGCCGCGCCCCCCCTGCAGGCTGCGGATCTCATTCCAACGCCTCCTGCTCACAGACCGATCCCGTTCGACAACTCCTGGGCGTCTCGGCGGTTCAACTGTCCGAGATGACCGGGAAGGAAAAAAGTGGTTTTCCCCGTGTAAAGCGATCGGGTGTCAGTACTTCGCGGGGCTTGGCTGGAAGCAAGCAATTCAAGCGAACCGTCGTAGTCAAAAACGAAAGCTTCTGCGAGCCGCAAGAAGAGTCAGTGGCGGCCCGACCGAAGGGCCACTGCGAGGATCTTGCATGGGTCGACCATTGCCGCAGAACGTGCTGGCGAGTTTTCGGAGGAGAGCGCGCAGAGAGCAGCATGCATG